AAAATGTCTGCATGAAAACAATATACAAACTAAATTGGACTCAGTTCTGCCAGACCTTCTTACTCATTTAGGAAAAACACAACTGAAGGAGACAACTTAATTTCTTTCTCAGTTTAAGGTTTGGCAAAGCACTCACATAGAATGAAGCCACTTTTGTGGTCTTACATTTATTGAAAATATTAATACACATGATAAAGAAAAATGAATACATTATTACTGTTTCTTATGTGTTTTCATTATGCTTGTTAAGATGTCGTGGTTTCAAGGATTGCCATATATAATGAACAAAGTTTGCTTCTTAAAAAAGGTAATATTGCATACAAAACCACAGGTAAACCTCGCTTGTTTTGTATGGATATTTGAAATCAGAATCTATTAAAATCCCTTGGGCCAAATTTACTTTGCAACAAGTGGGCATAACTGCCTCAATATCAGTGATGTTGGCCTTGATATCTAAGCCTAGCAGGAAAAAGACATAAGAAGAGAAATTCTAATGAATGACAGAGGCAATACCATGAGACATAAGGACCCTCCTCATACATGCCTGCAGTTGTTTTCTCCTCTCATGCCTGAAATTCCCTACTTACGTGTTTTTGAGGTGTGCCTTACTGATACGGCTGGAGCCTGTTACCCCCAGGTACAACACTGAGCCCACGTGCATGAGCTCTGCCAAGCCGGCGCTGGTCTGTGCAGGACCAGACTGCGTCTCTCAGCATTAAGTAAAGCAACCTGGAACTTGCTTTAACTTACATTAGGAGCAGAGCAAAGATAAAGCAAAGAACTCACACCGGTAGGCATTTTGGTTTATTTTGCAGCCTGATCTAGTTTGTCAGCCCCGCAGGAGACTGATAGTCTGGCAAGAGCCACGAGAGCAGCCCTAGCGTGGTCTCAGAGCTGCCAAAGGGAGGAGGTGGCAGCCAGCCTGAGACACAGTGCATGGGCTGAGCCAAGAGGTAACGCTAACGAGCCCAAGGCTCAGAAATGAGGGCAGAGCAGCAAGGCTCCCTGCACCAGTGGTTGTTGGGTAAGAGCGAAAGAAGTCACTTTCGAAACTAGGCTTAGCTTTGAAAAAGCTTGGGAACAACTGCTCCAGTTTAAGATAGCATGGTAAAAAGGGAATCTGATGACCCCCCAAGTTTTCCTGGCTTTTCCAGAAGTGCCGCAACTGCCATAACTCTTTTTTAGGGCACTGTGTCTTATTTTACTGTGTAACAATATATGGAAGATTATCTCATAATTAATGTATTCTTCTATATTTCTTAATCATACAACATCAGTCTCATTGTCCATCACATGAGCTTTGGTAACTGGCCTAAAACTTAACTATCTTAGACTTCCTTTCTTCAGGAACCAACTATTCATCACTATGTGAACAAAAAAGATAAAAAGCAACATTTTAACCTTATTTATATTAAATGTGCCAGGGCTGGCTGACCAGCCAGGGAAAAAAAAACCAGAATTGGTGACCCCCATGCCACACAGTCTCCCTGGTATGCTATTGTATACCTCTGCAGCCAAAGATTAAAGGCTTGGTCATGAAGCTAAAATGACTCCTTAGTTTTGAAGAACATTTATTTAGCCTTTCTTTAATATAATTTCTAGTTTGACTTGTGACCAGAATGGATGACTCATATAAGTAAGAGTTTGCAGTGTGTCCTTAAATTACTGTATTATTAATATGGTACTATACAGACACTCAGAAATGAGAATGGAAACACACAGGGCTCCATCAGCCTTGAAAGCTTAGAGTCTTGATGATATACTCTTTTTTTTTTAGCTGCCTACTTCCTATTGCACACAAATCAACCTGATTATCTACCAAGTCATTTTTCAAATGTTAATTCACTTTTAAAATTTGGAGTCATTTGGCAACAAATCTCTCCTAGCTATACCTGGATACCTTTAATTGATTTTGGTGGAGAAAGAATACATTTAAACACAAGACAATCTAATTTCAGACAAAAATCAATTCTATTTTTATGATAGAATGATATTTTTATATATGATATTTTTAGTGTTCAGGCTTAATAGCAATTTAAAGTCTTTGAAATAATTTCTTACACTTACTTAAAGAAAATGTTATCAATTTGCATTAAAATTAAATATTGTGTTTTTCATTTTGTTGAACTATTGAAAAGTCCGGAGTGGAATTTTCTGAAAGATGCAGAGATTGCTCATAGTTTCCATAAAGACTCAAGTCTGGCAGTAAAATCCTTGTTAATTTTTGATTGCATTTCCCTAGACTCATATTTTAGCACTGTATGTGGACTGCAATGACATGTCAGGCAAACAACTTAGACCAATACTTTCAAATGTTAAAATTTAAATAGGAAGCCAAAAGCAATTATGAGAAGTGTATAATCCATAAAACTGTCTTCACAATTAGTAGAGATGCTGGAATACTACTCAATCAAACTGTAATCAATGTATTCCAGTATTAACAATCAAGGTATTCTGAAAATGTCTGCTTTGTTGCTGAGCAAATTTAATCCCTTTCTAATGGACAAATTCTACTTTTATATTCACATTCAGTACAACCTACTGCCATACTAGCTCCCCTACCATTAACAAACCAGTGCTAAAAGAAATTATTAAAACTAAAAATATTGAGAATTGTTCTTTCTTAAGTGACAGTTTGGAAAACTCCTTCAGCTTACTTTTCTAAAAATCACTTCGTGCTAGATCAGCTTTACAAAAAAACAAACCCACAAAAATATTTGTGAGGGTTGTTCCAGTCAGTGTCAGAGCTGTTCCCAGAACCAAAGAGTATATGACGGAACTTTTTTGCCATTTTCTTTTCTTTGTATAGACATTGAAGTGATGGATATCTAAACTGTATGCCTACCAGTGATCCTGCGGTACTGATTTCATTTCTGTGAGATGCATAATATTTTGCACTTGAACACTGCCTCCAACTGCTCAAGGTAGGAAAACCAATTATGCAAATTTATTGCAAGGCAAAAGGTAACATGGTTTCGTGAGGCAGTGATAAAAAGGCTCTTGAGGCAGATCTATATTATAGTTTCAAAATGAAGTGGCTCATTGGTTTTCAGTATTCTTTTGCATTTTGGTTTGCCAGTAGGGTAAATTATTGGGAAACTGACCTCTTCAAGTGTCTGTGCTAACTATGCAAAATACGCTCCTGTGGATACAACAAAAATGAGAGGTTGAATGAGAATCACTTAGAGGATAGCAAAAAATTTTATCATTGTAATTTGTGTGTGGTAGTTGAGCACTGGAATAAACCTTTGAAAATGGTGGGGTTTAGCAGAATGCTTCGTTAGCACTTTTAATAATACAAGTCAAAAAATAACATTTAAAACAGTGGTGAAAATTCTGCTCACTGTGAAAGAGAGGAAATGCTTATTATAATAACCCTTTAAACCGACATAAAATCCTCTGATCCATTACATATTGCAACGGATACCAACAAAGGACACTATCTACACTGTGTTTTATCTTTGAAAACTAATGGCCTGAAACTGCCAAGATCTGAATTACTTCTATAATACCGCTTAGATGAATAAGGACTATTCATGGAATTGTCAAGAGCAAATCATGTCAAAGCAATCTCATTTCCTTTCACAACGTGGTTACAAGCCTTGTAGGTGGGAGAGCAGCAGTAGATGATATGTATCTTAGGGCTTTAAACAAATCTCACATGACATAAGGAACAAAACCATGGTTTTGATGAATATTCTACAGACTGGGTGTAAACTGGCTGGAAAACCAAGTCTATAACCAGAACATTTATCAGTGCTTCAATGTTAGTAGTTTTAAAAAAAAAAACCCCAAACCAGGTGGCACCTGTCCTGGCAACAGGTCTCTTCGTTCTTTTAGTTAATGACCCAAACGATGAAATGGAATATCTTATATTTGCAGAGGACACAAGCAAAGGAGGCACCAAGCTCTTGGCCAACCGTTCTGCAGGCCAAGATGAGCAGTCTGTAAGGCACCGACAAGCTGAAGGAGTGCCGCAGAGAAAACCAGGACGAGGTTCAGCGGGGGCCAGTACCGCACTGTGAAGAGTAACCCCAAACCGATTTGTAATGCACACGGTCACTCGGCATTTTCCCCTTGGGCTCAGTTTTCTCGCAGACAGCGGCAAGGAGCTGCTTTTTTGTGCTGCTGCTGCTGCTGCTGCTTCACGGTGCCACCGCTCGGCACTTTATCCGGGAAGGCCTCGGTCTGCTCCGCCAAGGTCCGCGGCCGCAGCAGTTCTCTCAGTGCAAAATCCTCCATCTCCAGCAAGCTCTCCGCGGGCCTAGCTGGGGCGGCCCGGCCCCGGCTCCGGCCCCGGCCCCGGCCCCGGTCCCGGTCCC